GCACGAATTAAATATTAACTGTTTGATATACACAATCATAACACCAAATTAACTGTCCAACACCAAATTGGCAGCCCATGCAAGAGAGAAGAGAGAAAAGAGAAGAGCAATAGCAGATTTGACAATAATTATATGTTGTGTTATATTTGACACAACATTTGGCAAAATTATATTTTGATAACCCATTTAGCATGCCATTAGAGAACTCATTTGAAACCCACATGCTATATTTTAAAAATAATAGTCCATTAGAGTTGCTCTTATACCATTTAAACTAAAATTTATTAGTAACATATTTGAGATATTGTTCAACTTTGAAGTCATTATTAACACTAGTTGGTAAAAATTAATGACAGCTACCTTTAATGAAAAAAAAAATCCATAAAAGGGACAATGCCTTGGAAACCTTCAAATCTTGAAAGATATCTATCACAAGTCACAATATTATACTTGGAATAATATACTGGGAAGAAAAAAACAAGGGGGATTCATTGACTGAAAACACCAAATTTTACTTCGGGCTCAAGTATCCAATTTCATATATATTTTTTTCTTAATTAATAGTTTGTTATATATTCAAGGAATTTATGCATGAATTAAATCTTAACCGCTGGATATACACAAGCACAACACTAAATTGGCAGCCCAACACCAAATTGACAGCTCATGCGAGAAAGAAGAGAACAATAATAGATTTGACAATAATTGTATGTTATGTTTTATTTGGCACAATATTTAGTAAAATTATATTTTGACAACCCATTTAACATGTCATTGAAGAGCCTATTTGAAACCCCATGCTAGTCCATTAGAATTGCTCTTATACCATTTAAACTAAAATTTATTAGTAACATATTTGAGATATTGTTCAACTTTGAAGTCATTATTAACACTAGTTGGCAAAAATTAATGACAGCTACCTTTAATGGAAAAAAAAAAATTCCATAAAAGGGTCAATGCCTTGGAATCAGTCAAATCTTGAAAGATATCTATCACAAGTCACAATATTATACTTTGAATAATATACTAGGAAGGAAAAAAAAAGTGGATTCATTGACTGAAAGCACCAAATTTTACTTGGGGCTCAAGTACCCAATTTCATATTTCTTTTTCTTAATTAATGGTTTGTTAGTTATTCATCCTTGGGGCTCAAGTACCCAGTTTCAGATATTTCTTTATCTATTTATGGTTTGTTAGATATTCATTTTTAAATAATATAAAATCATAAAGGTTTTTGATACATCGAGAGATCTTCAATTATATGTATGTTGACCAATTAGAACCAGTCACATAGGAGATGGTTTGCTCCTCGGGAGGTCTTTTACACTCCGAATTGTCCAATGTAGAGTAAGGGCGCGAATCCTTATTAAGTGAGATTCACATGTGGTTCCTGCAATTTGGGATGGCAACAGGACGGGTTTGGAGCAGGTTTCTCTAAATCCCGCCCTGCTCTTTTTAATTTTTGTCAAGTCTATGCCCGCCCCGAGACCCGCGACGGGTTAGATTTTCATATCCAACCCCGCCCTGTTAGGAAATATTGTGCCCCTGTGCCCGCCCCACTAACAAATTTTTTTCTCCCACTTTTTGGAATTTAAACTCCTGCTATTTAAATGTGCAAAGCCTAGGAATGACATAACATAAATAAAATTATGTATCCTAATAAAAAAAATAAATAAATAACATGCACATAACATAATTAAGAGAACATAATAAACAAAAATAAAAGTTTAATACAACCAAATCACAAGAAGTTCTAAGCTCCAACTTCGACCATAACCAAAACAAAAGCAAATTTAATACCAAGTTTACATCCCAAATTAGGATTATAAGAGATGGGTAATTGGGTAAGCCACTAAAATAACTTATATATATATATATATATATATATATATATATATATATATATTAAATATAGTTATATGCGGGGCGGGGCGGGGCGGGGCCCCTAGGATATGTATATTGAACCCTTACCCGCCCTGTGACCCTCGACGGGTACAAAATTTGTATCCATGTCCGCCCCAACGGTATAACAAGTGTTCCCATATCCGTTATTAACGGGCGGGACGGGGCGGGGCCCCAGCGGGGCGGTAAAAATTGACATCCCTACCTGCAATGTGTTGTAAGTGGTCTATATTTGGTCACGTCATTCTTTATTTAAAAGATTCTGAGACCACGCTTGACAATTGCATTACCATTTATAAGTAACATCATAAAAGTCTAAAAAGTAACATTACCATTGGTAAGAGGGTAACATTACCACTTAAAAAGTAAAAATTGTTAACAGCAACTACCTAATAAAGTGAAAACCATCTTCATTCTCAAAATAAGGTATGCACATAATGCAGATTAAGTAATGTCACATATAAACGTAACTCAATTCAACGTATCATTTATGTTATTATTTGAAATTAAAGTATTTTAGAAACACTTTAACATGTTAATTTAAAGAATTTAAATCAAAATTAAAATCACTTGGATTAACCTTAGACAATAAACAAAACACTTGTTGTCCAAAATAATGAATAGAGTCACATCTTCTTCTTCTTTTTTTTTTTTTTTTTTTTTTTAAAATATTAAAAAAACATACACTTAGGCAATGGCGGAGCCCTTTGTGGGCTAACCTGGGCTGCAGCCGAGGTCCAAAATTTTTATTTATTTTTTACTACTACTACTTCCTACCAGCTGTAGCCCAACCTAAGTTGCCCAATCCACGGTAAATGGCCCAGCCCAGCAAACCGAGAACCTAAATCCCATGATTTACCCACTGAGTGAGCCCTTACTATGTGCTCAAATTTAAATTGTAGATGCATCTATATATATATATATATATATATATATATATATATGTATATATATATGAATTTGTATATGAAATTCATATACAAATTCATATATATATACATATATATATATATATATATATATATATATATATATATATATATATGTATTAATATTTGCATACTTTAATCTAGGGTTTCAAGTACTTTAATCTAGGGTTTCATGATTCAATGGCATGGAAAAAAGAAAAATTCATTTGCAAATGCATTTGTGTAGTTTGAAATTTGAATACCTTGTTAGTGTTGTTGTTGTTTTTTTTCTTTTTTATTTTTTTATTTATTTTATCAAATCTTGTTCTTGGAAATTGGGGGATTTAGTAATTAATAATTTAATACCCATTATGCATAATACTTGGTCATGATTCAATGGCATGGAAAAAAAAAATCATTTACGAATTTATTTGTGTAGTTTGTTGGGTCTCTAAGTGTTATGTAGAAAACTAAATAATAAAATAAAAAAAGGAAGTAAATGGGTTTGAGTTTTTATTTGTGTAGTTTGAATGCTCTGTTGGTTGTCTTAGTTAATAATGAATAGAAAACTAAATAATAAAATAAAAAAAGAAAGTAAATGGGTTTGAGTTTTTATCACACATGTATAGTATATCTATTGAAATTCATTTTTGTAGTGGCCATGATTCAGGCTCCAGCGGGGGACGGTGGAAACTGGAAAGTACTCTTCCTCTTCATCTTCATCTCAACACACGCCACGCGGTGGAAATTCCATTTACAAATTACAGGTGATTTTTAATTTTCATCATTCTAGTTCTGGTGTGTTTTGTAGGAGTGATGCATAGTTGGTTTTCATTTTCTTTCTAATAACAGAAATTAATTTCAAGCAAAATAAAAACCCCATTTTAAGTTTTTATTTACCAAAAAAAAAAATCCCTTTTCTATTGTTGATGTGTTTGAAGTTTTGTTCTCTTCTATTTTGGTTTAACATATATAAATGAGTCTAGGACTGTATGACATTGTTTTAAAACTCCTTAATTTATATGAATATATTGTATACATACTTTTTTTTTCTTGTCAATAAAGTTTTTATATATAAATTTGTTTACATATATTTGTTTGTTTGTATTTGTGTAAGAGTGAGTTGAAGTAAAATTTCAATAAAAGTTTCCTGCTGTTAGCTCTATAGGTGATAGGCAATTAGGAATGCCCTTTATTTTTGTTTGTTGAAGCACTACAAGATAGGAATTTTTCACCCTCAAGATGAAAAATTTGTTTTCGTTTTATAAACGGAAAGATGATAAATTAGAAATTGGGCAGCTTCTACAAGTACGAGTACCTGTCCTAAGACTACAAGCTCTAACGAGCAGCAACAAGAGCCTCCTTAAAAAATTCCAAGAGTTGAGCAAACAGAGGTTGATGATATGTCTTTTATACGAGATCCTGGCTTGCGTCTTCAAATATAGAAACATCTCGTTAATGAACGTGATGAGCTTCGATGAAATTATATCTTAAGGGGACCTTATCAACCAAATCTCCATGTGTTTCCTTCCACTTAAGATAGAAATCAATCTCGTCGATTTCAAACTAGTTGGTATAAAAAATTCACTTGGATTGTGTATTCTCCTGAGAAAAATAAAGCATATTGTTTGCCATGTTTTCTCTTTCAAACTAATCCACCATCTCGTCCTGCTTTTACTATCGAGGGGTTTAATAGTTATAAAAAAGGGTTAACGATGGACCTAGGTATGCTCTTTTGCAACATGTGGGAGGTCCTAATTCATTTCACTTGTGTGTTGTAAGAGCTTCAGATGCTTTAATGAATCCTTTGCAACATATTGACAGAGTGTTGAATGTATCATCTAGAGATATGGTGGAAAAGAATCGATTACGCCTTAAAACAACAATTGAAAGTGTTCGGTGGCTTGCATTCTAAACATGTGCATTTAGAGGTCACGATGAATCCATTGAATCTTTAAATCTTGGCAATTTTATTGAACTCATAAAGCATTCAGCAAAGTTAAATGACAAAGTTGCTGAAGTTGTCTTAGAGAATGCACCAAAAAATGCAAAGTACCTCTCGCCAATGGTTCAAAAAAAGGTTTTACATATTCTTGGCAATAGGGTGAGACGTAAGATTCGTGAAGAAGTTGGGGATGCAAAATTTGATATTTGGTTGATGAAGCACAAGATTTGTCTAATACAGAGCAAATGGCCATTGTATTGAGATTTGTTGATAAAAATGGTTTGCTTAAAGAACGATTTTTTGGAGTTGTAGGCGTTAAAGACACCACTACCTTAACTCTTAAAAAAGAAATATCAGATGTCCTTACTCTTTATGATCTCCAAATTGATGATATGCGAGGCCAATGGTATGATAGAGCGAGTAATATGCGTGGGGCGTGGAATGGATTACAAGCGTTGTTTCTTAAAGAATGTCCATATGCATATTATGTACACTGCTTTGCTCACCAACTACAACTAGCATTAGTTGCTGCATCCAAAGATGTGTAAAATATATGGCTATTCTTTTCAAAGTTGAATTTTATTGTAATCTTGTCAGTGCTTCTCCTAAGCGTCATAGCGAGTTACAATCAACTCAAGTGATTTTATTTGCTAATAAGTTGGCTACTGGTGAACTTGAGAATGGTAAAGGAGCTAATCAGATTAAGACTTTGCAACGAGCAAGTGCCACTCGATGGAGCTCTCATTTTGGTTCTATTAATAGCTTGATAGACTTATTTGGTCCATCTCGTGTAATTATTGAAAATCTTTCAAAGAATGGACCAACTAATTCTATAGGTGGGGATGCAAAAGGTGTTTATCTTCCAATGCTTTCATTTGAATTGGTTTTTATCTTGCATTTGTTGCCTGAGATGATGGAAATTACTGATATACTTTGTCAAGCATTGCAACGAAAAACTCAAGACATTATAAATGCTATGAACCTAGTTTCAAGTACAAATGCACTCCTTCAAAATTTGAGAGAAAATGGGTGGCATACTTTCTTTCAAAATGTGGAATCATTTTGTAAAGAACATAACATTGTAGTACTTGATATGAGTGCTTTGTTATATGGTAGGTACAAGTTGTTCTTGTCAACAAAATTATAGTATAACATTTAATCATCACTATCAAGTTGATATTTTCAATGCTGCTGTAGATTTTCAACTGATGGAGTTAAATCAGAGATTCTCTGAAAGTACAGTAGAACTCCTTATTCTTGGCACAGCTTTGGATCCTAAAGATGCTTATAAAACAATTAAAGTTGATGATATTTGCGATCTTGTAGGGAAATTTTATCCTAAGGATTTTCAAGATGAGATGCATGCTTTGAAAAGCCAGTTGGAGCATTATAAGATTGATATACTCTATCATCCGAGTTTTCAGAATTTGTTCACCATTTCTAATTTATGCAAAATGCTAGCTAAAACAAGAAAGAGAGAAACTTATTATCTGATTGATAAATTGATTGGTCTCATATTGACTCTTCCTGTTTCTACAACAACAACAGAACGAGCTTTTTCGGCAATGAGGCGTGTCAAAACTAAACTTCGCAACGAGATGGCTGATGAATTTCTTGCAGATTGCATGATTCTCAACATTGAAAGAGAACTTGCTGAAGATATTGATATAGATTCGGTAGTTAATGAATTTGACTCTTTTAAAGATCGGAGGGTTCATCTTCAGTAACTTGGGTTCATCTTACTTAAGAGAATGCTGCATATGATGTAGTTGATTTGATATATGAGAACATCACCGGTTTTTTTTTTTTTTTTTTTTAAATAAATATAACATATTTTTGTTATAAGAATTATTGTGCTCTTCAATTTTTTTTATCTTTAGCCCTGCCCACTTTGGAATCCTAGCTCCGCCCCTGCTAACTTAGGTATAAATTATTTAGCATATCTTTGAAAAAAATTGACAAAGTTTAATATTAATTACCACACTCACTACCATCACCATAAAAAAAGTATTCACATAATAGTGAAAAACTAATAGTCACACATAAATCTAACTCAATTCAACATATTATTTATACTCCCTTTGTTCCAAAAAAGATGTCATGTTATCGCTGCGTCGGTGACATCCTTTCTCACACTCTCTCCCCTTCTCTTTCACTTTTAGTTCACATATCTCTGAGTCTCACGGCGTGTTTGTTAACATTGTAGCTAAAATTCTTCCTAGAATATACTCAACTGCCTAAAAATATTTAAAAATAAAAATAAAAATAAAAAATAGCTTTAATTTTTTTCCAATATAAGACACGTGTGACACACATATTAGTTACGTGACATTACTGCACCAGATCGAACGGAGAGAAGTGAAGATGCAGTGTACCCTAGCGCTATGCTACGGCTTCAGAGAGACTTATAAATATTCGCTTAATCGCGTATCTCTGTGAGTTCCCTCAACAACCTCGTTGCCTCCTGATCCTCGCTCTTCGGTAAGGCGCCGCTCTCTCTCTCTCTCTAACCTTAATTTAAGGCCTATCTCTTTCTATATATGAATATATATTTGTTTCTCTCTCTGTAAATATATAGTTCTCTCTTGTTAATCCATGCTCTGATCATGTTGATCGAATGATTGTGATTATTTGTTAAGATATATCTATGCCATACAAGCGTTTCTCTCTCTATGAATCAAGTAAATGATCTTGATCTTGTATTCCATGTAATATCTGGCAAGTTTGGATCTTTTTTTTTTTTTTTTTTTTTTTTTTTTTTTTTTTCATAAATAGGAATGGTACATGTGTAGGTTTTATGTGTGTGTTTTGTATGTGTGTGTGAATCTTGTGATGGTGGTTTGACCTGCTTTTGTGATTTCTGGCGTAATCCGAGTCTGAGATCTTATACCTTCTCTTTCTTTTTGTTACCCTGTTAGTGTTAGGGCTTACTTTTTGAGTTTTGAGCTACATCCTCCTCAAAGGGTAAAAGTGTCCATTAGTGCATGTTATTATTATTTTAAAGCTTATTCTCTCATTTAAAAAAAAAAAAAAAAAAAAAAAAAATCTATCTTGAAATTTAGTTTTATTTCTTGTGTGGGATCTTACAATCCACCATCCAATCCTATATAAACAAATAATCAAATTCTAAGGTCTACATAAAATCTCTGATTAATAGCACTTATTTTTGGGAAATTTACGGCTTTTACTGTGATAGTTTGGAAATTTAATGTGCATCTGTTATTTTGTTGATTTTAATGCAAGAATTTGATGATTTATATATGCATGCTAATATGAATTTGGGCACTTAATGTTTTTACATCATGATTTTTTTATTATGATGATTTGTAAAGTATTATTCTGTATTTTTTTTCCCCTTTCTTGAATGTTTGTGTTTTACATCGCACTATTACTTCTGGATGATTAACACTTCATTCTGTTCTCTCCTAAATTATTTGAATCTTGTTGCCCTTATATTAAATTTAGAACAGAGTGTTTCCATATAGCTATGATTTTGATTCCTGAATTTGATGTGCAACATTCAATGAACGGGGAGGGAACTCTTTATTTTTCAGTATATAAACTTCTTCTTTTACTTCAGTATCATTGTTCTTGTTTGTATGTCAAATCACAAGAGGTCTTTGTTAAATTGTACTTATTTTTATGGCCACATTCCTTTATCAATTAAAACCTGATTGTATTTAGTCTTGTTAAATTACAGGTGTTTTTGGAGGATCTCTAATTCAAGTACTCTTTTGTTAAAAGCAACTCAAAATGGTAAGTTGTTTGCTTTCTGTTCTTTCTGATTTTTTTTTTTTTTTTAATTTCATCTTGCTGGAAGTTGGAAATATATCTGATGGCGAAACCGTTTTATCACATGCAGGTGAAGTTCACAGCAGATGAGCTTCGTAGGATTATGGACTACAAACATAACATTCGTAATATGTCTGTTATTGCTCATGTGGATCATGGTATGAAATTCATCTCCACCTAAGCTGCGGTTATAGTTATTTAATTAACTTTTTTTTTGGGAAGTGCTATATAGTAAATGCTGAAGTCGTTTTTAGACATTTTAATGACTTTAGTTTTATAGTCGTTGGAACTTTTTACTTGTTCATCATGGTCTTGACTCAACATTTGAATTAAGGCCGTCATTGAGATTGTTCCTACGTGTTCTTATATTTTTACTCTTACCCCTGACAGGGAAGTCCACACTTACTGATTCTCTTGTGGCGGCCGCTGGTATCATTGCTCAAGAAGTTGCCGGTGATGTCCGGATGACGGATACCCGCGCGGATGAAGCTGAGCGTGGTATCACCATCAAGTCTACCGGTATCTCTCTATACTATCAAATGACTGATGAGTCTTTGAAGAGCTACAAGGGAGAGCGAAATGGGAATGAGTACCTTATCAATCTTATAGATTCCCCCGGGCATGTTGACTTCTCATCCGAGGTCACAGCTGCTCTCCGCATTACTGATGGTGCTCTCGTGGTGGTCGATTGTGTTGAGGGTGTGTGCGTCCAAACAGAAACTGTCCTCCGCCAGGCCCTGGGAGAAAGGATCCGACCAGTCTTGACTGTTAACAAGATGGACAGGTGCTTCCTTGAGCTTCAGGTCGATGGAGAGGAGGCTTATCAAACATTCCAAAGGGTTATCGAGAATGCAAATGTCATCATGGCTACATATGAGGATCCTCTCCTTGGTGATGTTATGGTCTACCCTGAGAAGGGAACAGTTGCTTTCTCTGCAGGGTTGCATGGGTGGGCGTTTACTCTTACCAACTTTGCAAAGATGTATGCTTCTAAGTTTGGAGTTGATGAATCTAAGATGATGGAACGGCTGTGGGGTGAGAACTTTTTTGACCCTGCTACTAAGAAATGGACCAGCAAGAATACCGGTTCTGCTACATGCAAGCGTGGTTTCGTTCAGTTCTGCTATGAACCCATTAAACAGATCATTAACACATGCATGAATGATCAGAAAGATAAGCTGTGGCCTATGTTGTCAAAACTTGGTGTCACCATGAAGAGTGAAGAGAAGGATTTGATGGGGAAGGCATTGATGAAGCGTGTCATGCAGACCTGGCTTCCAGCAAGCAGTGCCCTACTGGAAATGATGATCTTTCACCTCCCATCTCCTTCCACTGCTCAAAGATATCGTGTTGAGAACTTGTATGAGGGACCTCTTGATGATCAGTATGCCAATGCGATAAGGAACTGTGATCCTGAGGGACCTCTTATGCTCTACGTGTCCAAGATGATTCCAGCATCCGACAAGGGTAGGTTTTTTGCTTTCGGTCGTGTGTTTGCTGGTAAGGTTTCAACTGGTTTGAAAGTTAGAATCATGGGTCCTAACTTTGTCCCTGGGGAGAAAAAGGATTTGTACGTTAAGAGTATTCAGAGAACTGTTATTTGGATGGGGAAGAAGCAGGAAACTGTTGAAGATGTACCTTGTGGGAATACGGTTGCCTTGGTTGGTTTGGATCAGTACATCACCAAGAATGCGACCCTGACAAATGAGAAAGAAGTCGATGCCCATCCAATCCGAGCAATGAAGTTCTCTGTCTCACCTGTTGTTCGTGTGGCCGTACAGTGCAAGGTTGCATCTGACCTTCCTAAGCTTGTTGAGGGTCTGAAACGTCTGGCCAAATCTGATCCTATGGTGGTGTGTACCATTGAAGAGTCTGGGGAGCACATCATTGCCGGTGCTGGAGAACTTCACCTTGAGATCTGCTTGAAGGACTTGCAGGATGACTTCATGGGTGGTGCTGAAATTGTAAAATCTGATCCCGTTGTCTCCTTCCGTGAGACTGTTCTTGAGAAGTCGTGCCGGACTGTGATGAGCAAGTCTCCCAACAAGCACAACCGTTTGTACATGGAAGCTAGACCTTTGGAGGAAGGGCTTCCAGAGGCAATTGATGATGGGCGTATTGGCCCAAGGGATGACCCAAAGGTCCGCTCAAAAGTCTTGTCAGAGGAGTTTGGTTGGGACAAAGATCTTGCGAAGAAAATCTGGTGTTTTGGCCCTGAAACCACTGGCCCCAATATGGTGGTTGATATGTGTAAGGGAGTTCAATACCTGAATGAAATCAGGGATTCTGTTGTTGCTGGGTTCCAGTGGGCATCGAAAGAAGGTGCGTTGGCTGAAGAGAACATGAGGGGAATCTGCTTTGAAGTTTGTGATGTGGTTCTCCATGCGGATGCTATTCACAGAGGTGGTGGCCAGGTCATTCCAACTGCTAGGAGGGTTATATATGCTTCCCAGATCACAGCCAAGCCCCGTCTTCTGGAGCCCGTATATCTGGTGGAAATTCAAGCACCTGAGCAAGCCCTCGGTGGAATTTACAGCGTTCTAAATCAGAAACGTGGGCATGTGTTCGAGGAAATGCAGAGGCCGGGTACCCCTCTGTACAACATCAAGGCTTACCTTCCAGTTATTGAGTCGTTCGGATTTTCAAGCACATTGAGAGCCGCAACATCAGGGCAGGCTTTCCCGCAGGCCGTGTTTGATCACTGGGACATGATGTCGTCTGATCCATTGGAGTCTGGTTCGCAGGCAGCCACTCTGGTTTCAGAGATTCGGAAGAGGAAAGGTTTGAAGGAGCAGATGACGCCACTGTCTGAGTTTGAGGACAAGCTGTAGGCGACTATTAGTGCATGATCAACATGGTGCGAAACTAAGATCAAGATTGTAAAGGCGGCTGGATGGTACAATTTTATTTCTTTCGACTCTGTCATTTTTGCAGTGTGTTATTCCATGGAGTAGTAGTAGTAGTAGTAGTTTGTGTGTACTTGGGAGTTCGAGTCTTTCTGTTGTGTGTGGTTTTACAAGGAACTATTGCTTAGTAGTTAGTTTTTCTCTTTGAGTAGGTGGATTACTTTCCAAATATTGAATGCTTTTATATAGCACCTTCAAGATTTTATTTACAACTTTTCTAGTCAATGAAATGCCATTGTTTCAGGGTGTCTGGGCATAACAATTTATTGTTATTATTATTATTATTATTATTTTTAGTTTTTTGAGGGTAAGTTTTTGTTTTTTGTTTTCAGTTGCATTATATCATTATTTGGAACTTTTATACCCTATAATAGTTCGTTTCAACTCTGGCAGATCGGCAAGTATGGAAATTACCATTGTCGTGAGAATTATAGAAATGTTATTTTTACTATTTTATTATTTTTCAATATACCCTAATAGTTAATGGCATTAAAAGAGCCATTTAAAAAAAAAAAAAAAAAATTACCGAACATATTTTCTCATTTTTGTTTTCAAAATTCAACAACATATGTACTTTCCCAAAAGTTAATTGCTTTTGACAGAAATGACAACACATTTTTTTAAAACTTGATATTTTTGCGAAACGCGCCCTGAGCCGAGTCCTCATTCGTAGAAAATTTGCAGTTTTGGCTTTTATTCTTTTGCTCCGTTTAGGTTTTAAAAAAAAGAGACTCACAGGGGAACTAATAGATATGAAACAGAGGAAAAATCAAGGAAATGGCATTTTATTGGATGGGATTTAGGTTACTTTCGTCATTTCATTAATCTTTAAATAAAGTGGAGTGCTTACCCAATTTTTTGGAGCCTACGATAAATTTTACAAAATGGAATCAAAAAAGAGTAAATTTTACTTACTTCCCTTTAAATTTGTTAATATGTCACATAGATTCTTTTATATTTTATAATTTCACTTATCTCCCCTTGAATTATTTTATCATTTTGCCCATGATGTTTGCTGTCATTTCAATCAAACTGGGATACTATTAAGTAACTTGCTTAATGCTTTCAAATCTTTCCTACACACTGTTCAAAAGTTCAAATCACACAAACATCGCTTTGATTCCTAAGGTTAATTGCCCTACTCAAATTTCTTAATTTGGACTATGCAATGTACTTGCAAAATCTTCTCAAATATCTTAGCAAATCGACTCAAATCTTGTTTGAACAACATTATCAACCCCAATCAAAGCGCGTGTGTTCCTAGTCGATCAATCCATGATAACATCAATTCCCATTGACTGCCATTCAATCCCAGAAACAGGAAAAAAGGGAAAAAACTGAACGTCTTGCTCTTAAGCTCAACACGGCTAAAAGCTTTCGATCGAGTTGAATGGCATTTCATTGAACAGATGCTACAGCGCCTGGGATTTGACGATAGATGGACATCTTTCACTATGGAATGCATATCCAGAGTCTCGTATTCAATTGTTATAAATGGGGAACCAGGTTGTTTGACCAGACTGTGCAGAGGCTTTTGTCAGCTGGATACACGACACGCCAACACGAATTGCCACTCCTATCAAATTCACTAAAACATTTTTTGAACAACGTTATCAGCCCCAAGCAAAGCGCGGTGTGTTCCTAGTCAATCAATCCATGATAACATCTATTGCCCATGAACTGCCATTCAATCTCAGAAACAGGAAAAAAGGACAAAAAGAAAAACTGAACATATTGCTCTTAAGCTCGACATGGCTAAAGCTTTCGATCGAGTTGAATGGCATTTCATTGAACATATGCTACAGCGCCTGGGATTTGACGATAGATGGACTTCTCTCACGATGGAATGCATATCCAGAGTCTCGTATTCAATTGTAATAAACGGGGAAGCACGTTGTTTGATCAGACCGTCCTCATTTGTACTGAAGAATTATCATCTCTCGTCAACCACGCTGCTCATTCGAAGCTTATTAATGAGGGTGAAACTTTACAAATTTTGCTCTCCAATCACTCATCTACTCTTCGCCAATGATGCCCTGTTGTTTTGCAACTTGGACTCCACTGAAGCTTCAAAATTGAAATTTCTATTAAGGAAAAATGAGTTACTTTCAGTGCAGCTAGTGAATTTCAACAAAAAGCGAGAGCATACCTCAGTTCAAATGTCAAGACAGAATCAGGATCCCAACTACACAATCTTCTGGCATCAACGAGCAGGGTTGGAGTAACAAGTAGTTGAGTCTCCCAGGGGTTCTCGAAAGATCAAAATTGGTTTCATTTAAATTCTCAGTGGAGCGAGTCAGCTCCAAGATCCAATGTCTTAAAGGCTCTTTACTTTCTAAAGCTGGTAGAGAAACACTCATCAAATCAGTTTTGACTTCTCTCCCAAACTTTTCAATGTCTTCCTTCAAGATTCCTATTAATATGTGTGATACCTTGCACCAAAAGATGATTAATTTTTTTGTGTTTCGGGAAAGAGAAGGATACCACTGCAAAATGGCTCAGCTGGGATGCTTTATGGCTTCATAAAAAAGCTGGGGGTCTTGGTTTTAAAGATGTTCAATCACGTAGCTATTTTGACCCTGATTTCTGGAATTTAATCCATCTCAATGCAAATCCAGAGCTTCATGGGTTTGGAGAGGCATTCATGCTGCTAAAGTGATTATCAACAAAGGATGGAAATGGTCTGTAGCCAACGGCCTCAAGATCAACTATGTGGCCCGACTTGTGGTTGCGAGTAATTTATAGATATAGAATATAAGGATTAAGGAAACAATTTAGGATAAAAAAATATGAAACATATATAGAATTCTATGGAGAATGAGAAAATTCAGAGGGGCACTTTCATATTTTCATTAAAAAACATATATATTATTATAAAATATATATAGAATATAAGTGAGGGAGAAAATCCATGGGGAACGTGCTATTTCTGGTCCTTAATTGGCTCCGTACTGTGCAATCAAGATAGTCTCTGTCGTGGTTCTCCCTTACTCGCCTTAGGGGAGCATTCCCCTCATAAAACAGGTCTATTAAAGAGATTCAAATCTTATTTTACAAATTCCACTTCGCAAGACAGGAGGTGTTGATAGAGTCATTTAGGGAACGAGTTCCAGTGGTTCATTTAAACATTAGTAATGAGAGTTTCAGTGAATATAATCTTTCTCTTTTCTTTTCTTTTTTTAAAAGTAATCAATAAATATCATCTAATCTCATTACAAACAAAACACAGTAACCTCCATGTTATTGAAAGCAAAAGAAAAACAAGGAAGCACAAGTTCAGATTTTTTTTTTTTTTTTTTTTTTTTTTTTCCCCTAAAAAAAAAACCTAGTAAAAAGTATCCAAACCAAAGCTGAGTTTTTCTTCAAACATCCATTCACTTAAACACAACTAGTAATGAGAGTTTCAGTGAATTTCATCTTTCTCTTTTCTTTTTAAAAAAGTAGTCAATGAATGTCATCTCATCTCATCTCATTACAAACACAACACAGTGAGTTCCATGTCATTGAAAGCAAAAGAAAAACAAGGAAGCACAAGTTTAGACTAATACATAATTGTGAGATGTAGTACCATAGAGTTTACATATATACCAAAAGCTCCATAACCAAAAAAAAAAATAATAATAATAATAAATAATAATAAAAATAATTAGACATAATTGGAAGTTCTACTAATTGTCCGAAAATATTACCAACTTAAAAGACATTGTCAAAAGTCAGTATAACCGAAACCATTATCAACGTCAAGAATCGTTGGACATCAGTTTCCTTTAGGAGTGTCTTGCGAAGCATATGTGGGCAACCAAAAAATTAATTGTGTCATTCTATTAGGATGGTCATGCTTAGTCAGAAAAATGAAAGCCCTAACAATTTCATGCCCCTTTATTCCAATTTCCGCCAACTCCTTAAAGATTTCTAATCTTCATATTTTCCCTTTTGTTTGCACTTCTCATAAAGATTGTTGAATATTTTATGAAGATCATTTCCTTCTTTGCAGCCATACCTTTCACTATTTCAACCATTTCATTATCTCCATCAACAGTTGAATAATTTCTTTTTCTTTTTCCTTTTGAAGAAATGGAATGGGAAGGTGCACTTGAAGATGTTTCAAGAGAAATTAGATTCATACTTTCAAACTCATGATCCATAAAACCCATATTATCCAAACTTGCTTCATTCCGTGACACCATGTGATTAATACCATTAACGGTCTCCATCGGATTATCATTAAGACTTGACTCACATTCATTACTCTTCTCTTTTCTTTTTGCTGCCCAATAATTAATCCTCTCCTTAGCAGTTGCTGCATTAGTCCCAGTTGCCCTATCCTACAAATAAATCCAACAACTTATCATAGTTGGAAATTGGAGTAATCTTCCATTTCTCAGTTGCTAGATTTGACTATTGCCGAAACATAAAAAAATGCATTATCATTATTTCAAGCTGAAACAAAAGCATAAAGAATGTATCTGTTAAAAGTAAAAATAAATAAATAAATAATCTCAATTAAAAAACTAACCTCAATTAAAGAAGCCAAACTTCAGGTTTAACATTTCACATTTTTGTTGCTTCACTCCAAGCAAACCCACTCAAACCAGTTTTGAATAAGTCAAAACACTCATTAAATATTTTCTTGATTGTTTTCAATCGATTCTTCACTTTATCTTTGTTGATATCGATACCTAGTATTTCTTTCAATTCTTCAACAATCTCACGATAAGCTTTTGTTGTGAATGTGTCATCAATCATATTCCCCTTGACAAATTGATTATGCAATACATCTATAAATATATCATCCATTTGTGCAGTCCAAACACATTTATCCCTCTTCGACCCACCATTTATATTTGATTGATTACTCATTCTTACATTTACATAATAACAAGTACAATACAAATAAATGAACAAAAAGATAAATCATTCAGTTAAAGGTAGACAAAAATTGTATGCAAGGTAGGAGCTTATAACAAGCTATAATGCATTCTACATCTTCAAATCAAGCACTTTTAACATAAAAGAAGTTAAAGAAAAATAAAACAAAAGCAAATAAGTTTTAAGTTATTTGAACCAAATAAACATTTAAAGTATCATACATGATTAGGTACACAGTCATGCCACATATGGGAAGCTATTGAATCTCTCAATTATTCCCCCCAAACTATGATCTTCAATTCTCTCCATTGGACCACGTTCTTCATTTCGAGTTTCATTTAAGAGCTCCTGGTCTACTTTATTAATAAGGCTTTCATCTGGATCCATGCCCATTAAATAGTTGTGTATGATGTAACAAGTTAAAATGATATCAACTTGAGTT